ACTAAATAATCCCACATGCAATAAAAAGCAAAACAAAAGACATTCTAATATATCATTTTAATTTTCAAATAGGACTTATCATTCAATTTTTCCTACTTTGTTTTATCTTTCAATGGAAATATGTTTACAATCTGAAAAGATGCTATTTTATTGATTTAATATTACAACTAATCTTATCTGAGAATCAATGAGACAACTGTGGTGGAAATATCTTTCCTGTGCAAGTCTGTAATGTTATGTTGATCACCATATGAAGTTGGATGAAAGTAGACCCCACAAAATAAATCTCACTGCTATTACATTATCTGACATCTCTGGATAATCCCCATAGAAGACAATACTTTGGGATGAAGTGCCAAATGCATAACAGACAAGGACATGAAGATTCATGGAACTTTAAATAATGTATACATATTCATAGCACATTAATTTTATTGTGAAATATACAGTTGATTACTGACTCCATTAAATTATTACATCTCTTCCAGATACGTGAAAATGTTTCTTTGGATACATACATGAAGTATTTAATGATTTTCATATTCTCTATTGAGTATTTTAAAATTAGCATCATTAAAATGTATTTGTAAGTAAATTGGTTGCAACGACTCTGGGTTTGGTCCCAGATTTTTTAACCAAAACATGAGTGAGGAAAGGTGTGCTGACTACTTAAGAGTCAGAAAACACCTTGAGCTGCTTAGGATAACTCTGACAGCTGGAACTAAAAGGAGACATTTCAGCCCTGAAGGGCAAGGTATCCTGGACACTTCAAGCTGCTCAGAACAATATGTCTGCCCTGAAGGTGTCCTAGACACCTGGAGCTGTTTAGCACAGCTCTGATGGTTGGAACTCCAAGGAGATAGTTCAGCCCTGGATATATGTACAATCAACAACAATGGATGCAGCAGGTTGTATTAATATATTTCAGCAAACTGATTCACCCACACTTAACAAGGAAGAGTTTAGAAGGTATTTGGAAAATTAGTGAATAAAGAAATAAAATAGGCCAGGCAGTGGTAGCACACGCCTTTAATTCCAGCACTTGGGAAGCAGAGGCAGGTGCATCTTTGTGAGTTTGAGGCCAGCCTGGGCTACAAAGCAAGTTCCAGGACAGCCAGGACTGTTAACACAGAGAAACTCTGTCTTGAAAAAAAAAAGAATGAAATAAATAAAAAAGAAAAGAGAAGTAATCTTTCTATTATCAGCTTGATATAGTATGTATTCTTATCCAAATAGTGAAATGTTTCATTGAGGCTTGGCCAGAAATGAGCAAAACCAAAACTTATTATAAGCCACAGTCATCCTAGGGTCCCCCCGCTAGGTAGCCTCCCTGGTTCTGTGGGTTGCAGTATAATTGTTCTTGGCTTTCTATCTAGAATCCACTTATGAGTGAGTACATATCATATTTGTCCTTCTGGGTTTGGCTTATCTCACTCAGGATGATATTTTCTAGTTCCATTCATTTGCCTGCAACTTCATGCTGTCATTGTTTTTCTCTGCTGAGTAGTACTCCATTGTGTATATGTACCACGTTTTCTAAACCCTTCAGTTGAGGGGCATCTAGGTTGTTTCCAGGTTCTGTCTATTACAAGTAGTGCTGCTATGAACATAGTTGAGCATGTATCTTTATGGTTTGATTGAGCATTCCGTGCGTATATGCCCGAGTGGTATGGCTGTGTCTTGAGGTAGATGGATTCCTGATTTTCTAAGAAACCACCATACTGATTTCCACAGTGGTTGTACAAGTTTGCATTCCCACCAACAGTGGAGGAGTGTTCTCTTTGCTCCACATCCTCTCCTTGCATTTCCCTGTTGATTAAAGATGTTGAGCATTTCTTTAAATGTCTTTCAGCCATTTGTGATCCTTCTTTTGAGAATTTTCTGTTTAGTTCTTTAGCTCATTTTTTTAGTTGGATTGTTCAGTATTTTAATGTCTAGTTTCTTGAGATCTTTATAAACTTTGTAGATCAGTCCTCTGTCTGATGTGGGGTTGGTGAAGGTCTTTTCCCATTATGTAGGCTTTCTTTTTGTCTTATTGACCATGTCTTTTGCCCAAAAAAAGCTTCTCAGTTTCAAGAAGTCCCATTTATTAATTGTTGAGCTCAGTGTCTATGCTGCAGGTGTTTTTTTTTTTTTTTTAGGAAGTGATCTCCTGTGCCAATGCGTTCAAGTGAAGATAAGTAATATCTTTTAATTAACAATTTATGTGAAACATTTTAAGTAAAAAGGGGCTAGATAGATGGCTCAGCAATAAATGCACTGACTTTTGTGACAGAAGACCCAGGCTCCACTTATAGAACTCACAAGGTAGGAAATCATTTGTTGTAACTCCGGTTCCAGGCACCTCCTACCTTCTTCTGGCCTCTGTAGGCCAGAACAGAGTGAACAGACAAAACATCATAGAAATATTTCTTTAAAGTTAGAAAAAGTGAGCCGGGCGGTGGTGGCGCACGCCTTTAATCCCAGCACTCGGGAGGCAGAGCCAGGCGGATCTCTGTGAGTTCGAGGCCAGCCTGGGCTACCAAGTGAGTTCCAGGAGAGGCGCAAAGCTACACATAGAAACCCTGTCTCAAAAAACCAAAAAAAAAAAAAGTTTGAAAAAGTGAAGAATGGAGTTCTTTATAATGAGGTCACAGCCCTCAGGCAGACAGTAGCCAGGGATAATTGAAATGAACTCCTTATTGTCTTGCATGGAAGCAGCTGTGACCTCCTGCCAAGCCAGCCTGCTCAGAGGCAAAAGCGGCTTTATTCTGAGGTTAATAAAGCTCATCATAACCATTCATCTGACAGCAGAGTAAACAATGCTATTAAGTGATTTTTTAATAATGATTTCTGTTCTCTCTCTTTGTGAAAATTATGGTATTGGTATACTTATCTTTTAGACTGAACATTAAGATTGACAGGTCTCATATCCCCAAGAGCAATCTTCATTCACTGTATCATTTACTAGAATTTCAGCTAAGACTTTGGGATACAATATGAATATCCCAGAGGCAGTTGTTTCTATCATTTTATAACTTATATATGGCTCCGCATGATTTTTATGTAAGAATTCCCCTAACTGTCTCTACTTCTTTATTGTGATTGTGTTCAAAAGTGGATTTGTTCAACTAGCCTGCTTAAGAATATGGAGAACTCTACACAACCATGTCCAGATTCCCTATGTAAAATCTACATGCTTCCTTTGTTTACATAAACTATTGTAAAAGTATTCCATACTCTACCATCCTCCTGCAGGTAAGAAATTTTTCTCCTTTCTTCCATTTTGGATATTGTGATGGCTATTCTTGGTAGTCAAACAGAATACCTCTGTAATTAACTAAAACCAGAAGAGTTGGGTACACCTGTGAGGGAGTTTTGAAAGGTTTTGAAATTAAAGTCCCATCTTTATTCTAGATCATTTGAGGTGATATCCATCTTCAGCTGCTTGGTGTCTGTGCACACATTTAAGCACAGCACTGAGGAGGCAGAATCTTCTGAGGATTTCTGAGGTTGAGGCCAGCGTGGTCTACAGAATGAATTCCAAGGCTAAACAGATAAATCCAGTCTGAGAAACACCAAAAAAAAAATCAAACAAAGTATAAGCTCCAACTTTAATCTTGATCATACCTTCTGGTGGTAGCCTACATACATAAAGAACACAGAAGGAGTAAGCTCCTGCTTGCCCTAGCTCTGGCTACCAAGTTCATTCTTTTTCTTCCTTCCTTCCTGTCTTTTTTTCTTCCTTCCTTCCTTCCTTTCTTCTTCTTCTTCTTCTTCTTCTTCTTCTTCTTCTTCTTCTTCTTCTTCTTCTTCTTCTTCTTTTCTTTGGTTTTTTGAGACAGGGTTTCTCTGTGTAACTTTGAGCTTTTCTTAGAACTTTCTCTGTAGCCCAGGCTGGCCTTGAACTCACAGATTTGCCTGCCTCTGCCTCCCAAGTACTGGGATTAAAGGCGTGAGACACCACTGCCCAGCTCCAAGTTCATTCTTTTACCAGCATTAGAGCCTAATTCCTTAGAATTGTGGTGTATACTAAAGAACAGCTGAGATATACAGCCTCATGAACTGAACAACTACTGAATTCTTCAAAGTTCCAAAGGTAGGAGCCATTGATTGACTATCTAAACCACAGTTTGTGAGACATTCTAATAAATCCATTTTCTTCCTATGTAGAGAGATTCATTCTACCAGTCCTTTTCAGGTAGAGAACCTTGAATAATGCAGTTGTTTTTTTCCTTCACTTGCCCACTGAGGAAGATGTGCTGACTAACAATAGTGTTCTTAAACACATTTTTTCATAGCTTAGTTATTATCTTAATATTAAACTATCCATGAAGTCTTTTCTGTATTATTATTCATTTGCTAACAGTTTGCTCTGAATTTCTGTAATAGAATTCCTAAAGCGATAGACCTATTTTCTTGGTTGTGATGAAGTTCCTGCTTTTCTGTGCTGGTTGTCTGAAGTCCCTATGACAACCAGGTAAAAAGTACCTTCGGTTCACCTGATGTCAGTATTAACTCACACAATAAACACTCTCCTTGTGTGTCTTTAAATCTCTCTTTAGTTGTTAATATTCCGGGATCCCTTTTACCTGTGTGACAAGGAATCACTCCACCCATATAGTTTAGTGGTCTGTACAAGGTAGCTAGCCACATTGTGTCCTGGAGGAAGAAGAGGAAGTGCCTATGGAGTAGAGGGAGAAAGCATAGTCAGCTACTGGAGCCATGGGCAAGTGCTATCAATATGCACATCTCTGCTGTTTAGAAAAAGTCTTTGTCTAGGGTGGATGGCAGGGTCAGGAACCATTGTACTGTGTCTTTAAGCACACTCTAACCCTGTGGGAGGTACACTTGTCACTCAGGTCTCACTAGCCAATCAGGCACTCCATGTGACCTGCCAGTCAGAAGCCGTGCAGGGTCCTTCCGGACACTGGCTTCAGACTTGGCTTTGAAGAAGAGCTGGTTCCAGCAGTTTTGTGTGGTGTGCTGTGAGTTCTGCTGCAGTGAGCTGAGCCGAGAGCATGGACAAGCTGGGAAACCATGACTTGGTGAGTGAAGGGCTGCTGTCCACAGATGAGGTGGAGCAGATAATGAGGTGTGGGGTCCAGTGTGGTGAGACTTCCTTTGATCTGGGTGGGAACCTGCCTGCACAATCCCAGTGCTGTGGAGTCCCACGTGGTACTTGAAACTCCCTGGACCCAGGGGCAGGCCTCTGAATAACTTTGTTCTATGGGCTGAATCGGCTCACAGAATTTGGTACAGGGAGCTGTGTGTAGAAATATTTTTGTGCTGAGTGAGGGTGGCCCTCACCTTTAATCCCAGCACAGGGGAGGGAGAGTTAGGCTGATTGCTTTGAGTTCAAGGCCAGCCTGGTCTATAGAGTGAGATCCAGGACAGGCATTTAAAATGACACAGAGAAGCCCTGTCTCAAAACACAAAAACAACCAAACAAAAGAAACGTTTTTGTAGTAAACTTAGACATACTTTTGGTGCACCCATGGAAAGCAGGTTGTCAAAAATGGAGAGTACCTTCCAGTACGTTTTAGAGGTTCAGCACTTTGCATTTCACTTTCATGTGTATGATTCTTTAATAGTTAATTTTGTGGAAGTTGTAAAAGGCATCTTATGTGTTAGGTAACACTCCACTATTAATGTGTGATGTAGAAGAGTATAATTGGTGATATAAAGGATTCACTAATCTTTTTGGAGATAGTAAGTCTCACAAAATAGAATTTAGTTGAGGGAGGACTACCTCAAAAAAAAAAAAAACCTCAAAGGTAAGTGCATTGTAATCAGGCCTGTTAGAGATTAGGACTGTAGGATACACATTTGTTTGGCTCCAAACCATCACAAATGAGCCACTGATTATTTAAAACAAGCCACTGAATCAAAGAATGGGACTCTAACAAGCTCCTTATTGAGGCATTACAGGGTAAAAACCAACTTTATATCCTGGTATGCCATAAAGTTTCAGTTTTCTTCTTGGTAAAAGCATAGTTCTGCCAGATGGACAATATGACAAATATGTCAAATTATTTGAAAAGTAAAACACTAGCCGGGTGGCGGTGGTGGTGCACACCTATTTTCCCTGCACTCACTCAGGAGATAGAGGCAGGTTGATCTCTGTGAGTTTGAGGCCAGCCTGTTCTGCATAGCAAGTTCCAGGAGAGGCTCCAAAGCTACACAGTAAAAATCTGTCTTGAAAATCCAAAAAAAAGAAAGAAAAAAGAAAAGAAAAAAAAGGAAATAAGAATAAAAGAAAAGTAAAACACTAATGTGTTAAGGAAGTGCCTGATCAAGCAAGGCTTTCATTTAGGCCCTCAGGCATAGATTAGGAAAATTCTTGTGCAAGCTAGTAAAACCCTTGGACCTAGGGCTAGGAAGCTTTCCCTAAGGGCCTGGTGTACTGATAAGAAAACAGAGCTCTTTCCTGAAAAGCAGGCATATGCTTTGGAGAAGCAGCAATGGTCTGGAACCAGGGTGTTTGTGGTGCGGTTACTTCAGATCCTGAGAAACCAACTCTTTCCATCACATGAGGCTATAGGTATCAGTCCACAGAACACTGTGGGCTCAGTCAGTAATGTTCCTGAGATGCCCTGTTTCCCCTTGTGAAGCATTGTTTGAATAGCCTCCTCTTTGAGTCTGCCCCATTGTATGATAGTTTCTGCTGACATCCTAGAAGTTCCCCATTTCCTTTCATTTCACCCCTGGAAGTAGTATGCAAGGTGCTGTTCTTCTTAAGAAGCTTAGGTGACATGAGACATAGCTTGTGTAATGCCTCCCCACCCCAGCATTTATCTTTTCTACCTTATACTTTTCCTCTCTTTCTCATCTTTTGTGACCTTCACCTCAGATCCCTGTCACTGAAGAAGATCCTGATGTTTCACATTAGTGGGGTACTTAAATAATTTTGGAGCCGGGCAGAGGTTGTGCAGGCCTTTAATCCCAGCACTCGGGAGGTAGATGCAGGCAAATATGGGTGAGTTTGAGTCCATCCTGGGCTACAGAGTGAGTTCCAGGACAGACTCCAAAGCTACACAGAGAAACCCTGTCTCAAAAAAAAACAAAAAAAAAAGAAAATTTTGGAAATGTATTTGCTGTGTAAGTCTTTCCTCTGTCTAAGTGAATGACTTGCACTCTTCTTTTCCTATTTAAATTGCTGAAAGTGTAACCTAAATCCTGAACCTAAATGTCACAAGGATGATTAGCATATGTGCAATGCAAAGTCTCTCCTAAGCTGGCTCCTCTTTTAGCATTAGCAGGAGATGGATGTATGTTAACATTAAAGAGAATTTTCTTCATTAATCTCTGAAGTGTGTTGAGTGACTTCTCCCTTGGAATGCATTTTAATTCTAGAAGAGCTGTATTTCAATCCTGTTAGAGAAATGTTTCTGAAACAAACTCTCTTATGTTGACACAAGTGGCCTTGGTCCCAGTCTGTTGCACTCTATGGCAATGACTTTGCTGTTCTCTATATTATACATTAAAAATCTTATATTAAATGTTATTATCACCTCATGGTTTCAAAAGTATCCATTTGAGTGATGCAGTTGCATATTCATTGCAGTAAAAGGAAAGAGATTTGCATGTGGAGCATGGTTTCTACCTTTAGACCAGAATAGAAGGAATAGTTTATTGTGTACACTGCTGGGGTAAACAGGGTAGTCAATCAGCTACTGGAGCCACCATTATGAAAACAAACCTGATTGTAGCAGGAAGAGTAATTTTATAATTTCCCAGCATGTACTGATTGATGACTTGTGAATGAAGACAGACCAGACTGGTTGGTGTTCAATTTAGGAAGGTAAACTTGCACCGAATGATATTGAATTTTCAATTAGGTAACTCTCCTATGCAGATAGTTCAGTCACTCTGTTCTCTAATGTGTCTATGTCATTAATTGTTTCATTCTTTTCTATCAAGAGCTGTTGATTATTGATTTTCCTTGGAGAGCAGTGTTTCTTGCTTGACACAGTTATGACAGTTCAGAAGTTTGAGAAATAGGCCATTGACTGTAACTGTGTGTCAGGTTACAGGTCACAGCAGCCAACAAGTGCATATGATAAGATCAACCTATATTTTATTAATGATATTCCCTCTACTAGAGAAAATTCCACTCTTTTTTAAAGTCAATATAGCTAAGGTTCATTTTTTGTTTTCTTTTTATTTTTTTTGAGACATGGTTTCTTTGTGTAGCTTTAGAGCCTTTTCTGGAATTCACTCTGTAGCCCAGGCTGGACTCAAACATACAGAGATCTGCCTGCCTCTATCTCCGGAGTGCTGGGATTAAAGTTGTGTGCCACCACCACCTGGCATAGTTAAGTTTTTTATCTTAAAAACTGCATTATTTTTATCACTTTAAAATATCACTTATTGGTATTATATTTAACATTTTAAAGAGCATTACTGATCTTATCTATTTGTTTCTGTTCTCTAATGTGTCTAAGTCATTAGTTGTTTCATTCCTCATCTATCAAGAGCTGTTGATTATTGATTTCTGTGTAGAGCAGTTTTTTCCTGTAGCCCAGGCTTGCCTCATGCTATGTAATGGAGAATTGCATAGAACACTTAAACCTGCCTCTGCTGCCAAGTGCTGGAAAGACAGACCTGTATCTTCTTCTAGGCTGGGCACAGTGAGAAGGAAAAATAGAGCAGTTAATAAGTGTTCTACAGTCTCCTTGTCTTTTTCTGGGGCACAAACTTGAAGAGGGACCTGTGTAATAATTGAGTTCACGGAGCACCTTTGAAGTTGATGCATTGAAAGGCCAGAAATGGAGGGACAGGACAAAGGGTGAGAGTTTTCCTGTTTCAACAGTATTTGAGATGAGCGATGTGGAGTGATGTAACCAATTTTAGATGATCCACAAATGTCCTGACTGGCTGTTTCTTGGGGTCTACAGAGCAGCACATTCAGTAATCTGGATAAAACACTGACCCTATATTGAAACAGAATTACTGTAGTTACACTTGGTCAATCACTCTAGACAATCTGTGTAAAGTGGTGTGGCCCTGCTGAACAGGACTGCTATTTTCCTTGTTAAAGATGTGTAGCCTCAGGAAAAAAAAATGCATGTGAGTAATCCTTGGTTTGCTCTCAAACAAATCCCTAGTATCTGGAACACATGGCCATGAACTCAGTTCCAACTCTTCCAAATAATTCTTTGAGATTATGACTATGTCATGTCTATGCTCTCTTTCCTACCTACAAGCCCTACCATTGACCACTAATTGTTTTCTAATTCTTGGCCTGTTTTTCTTTAACATTTACATAGTTACAACAGTTACTGTTTGAATGTGACCTGTGTTTGGATGCAGGTCTTCCCAGATATGAAGCAAAGGTTTGGTTGCACTGGACAATCAGTGTGTATTTGTACACAAAGGACTCTGTGCTTGGAAAGGGGAACAAGAAGTACTCTGGGAGACTGGAAGAATTTTGAAAATACAGACTTCTCAGAATAGCATCCTGTCTGCTCCTAAGGTGGGACGGGAGAGCTGAGAAGGCCTGTGCTGTGTGTGTCATTTGATGTCTGATCACCCAGTGGGGGAGCCGCCTCTGTCCTGAGTCTGAGCTGGGTAGTCTTAGCTAATGCGTGACCTCAAGAAAGCTTAGCAATTAGTACCAATGGGAAGGAGCTTGCAGGTTCTTTTCAGGATTCTCATCTTGCTCTGCTGTAGGAGCTGTGAGGAAGACCAAAATACATGCCATGGTGAGTGTGGAGCCCACTGACCTGAGACCAAGAGGAGAAGTTCTGCTGAGCTGTCAGAGCTTCTGTGACTGTGAAGGACCATGAGCCAGACTATGGTTCTTTTGGTCCCTGTGGTGATCTGAGAAATGGCGCTTCTTTGAGAATCCCTGAGTGTGGATTCAGTGGTGACGGGGAGGCTCTGCTTCCCTGGCTATGGGGCTGTGATATCTGTAATATATTTGCATGTTGTTAGGCAAGTGGATAGAGCAGATTCTAGATCATGTGTTATAACCCATGTGGAAATAGACATTAAATTATTCTTCTAAACTGTTTTGTGATTGAGCATCAGTGGGTCTTGAAGC